GAAAGTATATACTTATAAAGATTGAACTATTTACAGGAAAGCTTGTTATATGTATATCTAACCCTGACAGATGCTTGTTGTTTCTTTTTTCTCAAATGCTTGAAGGTACTTGTGACAAAAGCTATATTGACTCAATAAATTTGAGCGTCGTTTTTTTTTTAATAAAAGTAAAAACAAAGTAAAGTTTGATGCTTTCTGCCCACTGGGTTTATGTTTCTGAAGAAGATGAGAAACATATTGATCTGTTTTGTAGTTTTGTCCTTTTGTCAGGATACTTTACTCCAATAGCTCAGGATTAGTAAATGGTAATTGAGTCATAGCTCCCATATCTTGTCCAGTGACACTTTCACCAACATCCCAGTTTCAAAATGACCCTGACATGGCAACAACTATTAATAAACAAATACTAAAAATCATTACTAGTAACCATTCTGAACTTGTCTTTTTTTTATTTCAACTTACCACACCAGAGGCTGAAAATTTCTCTATATAGGATGTGTGTTATTTATTGATTAAATATTAGTATATATGTCAACTTACCTCACCAGAGGCTGAAAATTTCTCTATAGATCGGGTTTGTGTTACTTATTGATTAAATATTAGTATATCTATTTTTATTTACAGATATTTTCCAGTCAGACTGGCGAGTTAGTAACGTACCACCAAGAGGAAATCAACCAACTACTGCCTAAAGAAGGGTCTGTAAATGTACAGACAAAACGCTCTAACTTACTCAAAGAAAATTATGCATCATCATATTTAAAATTGAATCAATCAGAATTCTTATTGAACATCTTTAATGAAAATTATTTTTCTAATGCTGTCAGGGCTAATTTGATTGAATTTTCTGATATATATCAATCAAAATTATTCCTGATGGCATTTGAAAAATAATGTTCATTAACGATGTTCAATAAGAATTATATGGCAATATGTTCATGCCTGGTAATAAGCCCTCTCATATATTGCTCTTTATAAGTAAATTACCAATGAATACCATTTTATATAGATCTGCACTGGCTTTGACCCTGAAGTTGACCCCCTTTTTGTAAATTAGAAACATTATGAATTAATGTTTAAATGTGTAATAAGACTAGTAAACTAGAGTTTAAAAGCACTCGTCCATCCATGGCTCTACCTACTGAGTCAAACAAACCGAGTGACAGAGTGTCAAAATATATTTAACGCCATATACAAACCACATTGATCTGCTCCTTTTACCAATGTGTTCCTCAAAGAGTCGACATTTTAACTCTGTGATGATAATTACTCATCGTGTTATAGAGAGACAATTGTGGTTCTTTATATTATGTTTACTTTGTTTGGTGTTTTGTTGGCTTCTATATGTAAAGCTTAATTGGTGTTTTGTGGTAGGACAATACCTTTTACACACAAACAATATTTAGTGCTAAAATAGAATTTCATATATTTTAAATACTAATCTGTTTCCTTTCTAATGCAATGAATCTCGGATGACAATGAGAATTTGCCTTATAAGGAGCCAAAGTCAAAGGTTAAAGGTCAAGGTCAGATAGGTTGAGAAAATATTTTTATTTATAAATTCTATTGTCTTAATATACAGTGTAATTATATTGTTGATGACAGATGGGTAGAAGAAGATCCGATAGAAATTTTGGCGTCAGTGCAGACCTGTATTGAGAAAGCTGTCAACAATCTCAAAGCCCTGGACATCAACCCTACCAATATCAAAAGTCAGTAATACATTAAATGTACAACAGTAGTATATTTCATTTGTGTGGAATAATTAATAGTTTTAACATTACGTAAATATATATATATATATAACAGGTATATATACTTTGGTCCCTACAGTTGTTCCTCATAAATAAGTCATCCATGGTGACATTCTACCATTAGTCAAAAACAGTGAGTACCCAGGGTTTTCCATAAAAGCCGGTCGCCGGCCAATTTGACCGGCTACTTTGAACATTTGGCCGCCTACACCAATCCAGTTCCGTAATAATGTTCTGTATACGGCAGGCCATCCTCCTACTTTCACTACACGGCCTACTACCAACAAAATTATGGAAAACACTGAGTACTTCTGATGTATCATCTAAATCAATAATTATGTATAAGGGTGGTATAATATTGACTTCCAGTCAATTTCCACTCTGAAGCATTAGGGGCTGAATTTGTTGTTCCTATCTATTTACACATCACAACACTTACAACTGATAAACACTGGATTGTATTAAACACATCAAACTACACATCTCAATACTTACAATAGATAAACACTGGATTGTATTAAACACATCAAACTACACATCTCAATACTTACAATAGATAAACACTGGATTGTATTAAACACATCAAACTACACATCACAATACATACAATTGATAAACACTGGATTGTATTAAACACATCAAACTACACATCTCAATACTTACAATTGATAAACACTGGATTGTATTAAACACATCAAACTACACATCTCAATACTTACAATTGATAAACACTGGATTGTATTAAACACATCAAACTACACATCACAATACTTACAATTGATAAACACTGGATTGTATTAAACACATCAAACTACACATCACAATACTTACAATTGATAAACACTGGATTTTATTAAACACATCAAACTACACAGCTCAATACTTACCATTGAGTTGATGTTAATTTAACCAATCATCTTAGATGTATGTATACACAGTTTTCAACTGTTATATTTTTGTTACTTATCTATCTATCTGTAGGTTTACAAATATTATAACAATATTTTATCATTGTACTGCTCAAGGAGTATTGTATCTGTTACCTTTCTGTCAACAAAGATAGATTGACTCTGACAGATGCTGAAGGTGATATTAGTTATGTTTGCAAATGAGAAAATACTAAGTTTATATGTGATATTTGTTGAAGAATTGAGAAATATTGATGATTTTTAGAAAGGTTTTGTGAATGAAGTTATGACCAAATAATCAAATGTATTATTTATACTCAATACTTGATTATATCAAACTCAGATAAAAATTACTGTTGTAAAAATTACAACAGGTAATACAAATCTGGAACCTTCTGGTTAATTACTGTTTATTATGCTTTGTGTTAATTTATTGATATCAATTACTTATATTGTATATAATCAATCATACAGCCATTGGGATCACGAATCAAAGGGAGACAACTGTGGTTTGGGACAAGCTGACAGGGAAACCTCTATACAATGCCATAGGTATGTTGATATTTCCTCATAATAATCACCATGGAAACTTGAAGTCAGATATTTACTGTGAATGAAGCTTTTTTCTTTAGAAATAAGAATTCTGAACACCATTGTGATCGAAAATTGAAACAAGATATGATGCAAATAAATAATAATCCTCCCAACAAGTCAACAACAGTTTGTTGGATTCTTCATTTAGCAAGAGGCATAAATATATTATAATATTTCACTATTTATATGGAATATAAAAGTAAAATTTTATATTAATTTCCTAATCAGTGAAAAAATGTCTTCAGAATTTTTTTTTATCGTAGATAAAATAGAAATACAAATAATGTATTGATTTATCAAGATCATAAGACTTTCAATAAAAGACTACGAAAATGTTCTTTAAATCATATGAAATTAGTCTCCCAAATTAATGATACTGTAAGATAAATAGGTTTTCAGTTGCTTTCAGGAAAAAGTGTATATATAGAATTTTTGGTTTAATATTTACATGTATGGCAAATTGATTGTCTTTGTTTTCTATCCTGCAGTATGGCTTGACATGAGGACAGCTAGCACTGTAGATAACTTGGTGAACAAGACTCCACAGAAGAACAAGGACTACCTCAGAGTATGTAGGTCAACATCAGTATATGTAGGTCAACATTAGGGTATGTAGGTCAACAGAGTATGTAGGTCAACATTATTATATGTAGGTCAACATCAGTTTATGAAGGCCAACATTAGGGTATGTAGGTCAACATTGGAGTATGTAGGTCAACATCAGTGTATGTAGGTCAACCTCAGAGTATGTAGGTCAACGTCAATGTGTGAAGGCCAACCTCGAAGTATGTAGGCCAACATCTTAGTAATCAAATATACCAAACATCTATTTCAGTGATACCAATGCGTTTTATCTTTGATGATTAATTTTTAGTGATTTCTGTAAAATTATCAATTATCTTATTGGATTAAATTTTAATTGATTTTGTGGGTACTCTCAATTCCCAAATTCATATGTCCTTTAACTGTTAAAATTAGTATAAATATATATATTTACCTATGTTTATCCACAGAATCAAATCAAATGTCCAAGAATATTGGGTTTTTTTAAAAACACAAAATTGGAGCTACATGAAAATATATGATTTCAAAGAACTCGTTTGGATGGGAAATTGTTTTACTGTTAGGTAGCATATAGCCTTAAAAACAGAACTGTTTTAAAAGAAAATTATGTAAGTGAATAGTAGAATTTTTGTGGATAGATTGCAGATGTCAATATTTACTCTTTTGCATTGGCAGACATATGGTTAGATGTGGGAAGTGTTGAACATGAGAAGCCCTTATAGGGGCTAAATGGTGATGTTCCCCAAAAGCTTTTAAAATCTAGGTGCTATATAAACATTAAGTACAAATTGTAACCATCTGTTATGTATGGGACATCCAGGCAGTGAATCTGATTCTGGGATTTATTGGTAGCTGAGTGCTGCTGGGTTCCTGTTAGTGTTGACCTAAGGAGTGTTTATGGACTATACTATGAGTTAGATATGTCATTTGATGTTTAATTTGCTGTTGGTCCAGACATCTTAACTAAACTGTAGATGAACATTTTAGCCAGATTTCTGTTACTTATTTTCTGGTTCTCCAGACTCTTGAGATGAACAGTTGATGAACTTTGTACCCTAATTTCTGTTACTAATTTTCTGGTTCTCCAGATCCTTGAGATGAACAGTAGATGAACTTTGTTGAGATGAACAGTAAATGAACTTTGTAGCCAGATTTCTGTTACTAATTTTCTGGTTCTCCAGACCCTTGAGATGAACAGTTGATGAACTTTGTACCCTTATTTCTGTTACTAATTTACTGGTTCCCCAGATCCTTGAGATGAACAGTAGATGAACATTTTAGCCTGATTTCTGTTACTTATTTTCTGGTTCTCCAGACTCTTGAGATGAACAGTAGATGAACTTTGTAGCCTGATTTCTGTTACTAATTTACTGGTTCTCCAGACTCTTGAGATGAACAGTTGATGAATGTTTTACCCTGATTTCTGTTACTAATTTACTGGTTCTCCAGATCCTTGAGATGAACAGTAGATGAACATTTTAGCCTGATTTCTGTTACTAATTTACTGGTTCTCCAGACTCTTGAGATGAACAGTAGATGAACATTTTAGCCTGATTTCTGTTACTAATTTACTGGTTCTCCAGACTCTTGAGATGAACAGTTGATGAATGTTTTAGCCTGATTTCTGTTACTAATTTACTGGTTCTCCAGACTCTTGAGATGAACAGTAGATGAACATTTTAGCCTGATTTCTGTTACTAATTTACTGGTTCTCCAGATCCTTGAGATGAACAGTAGATGAACATTGTAGCCTGATTTCTGTTACTAATTTACTGGTTCTCCAGACCCTTGAGATGAACAGTTGATGAATGTTTTACCCTGATTTCTGTTACTAATTTACTGGTTCTCCAGACCCTTGAGATGAACAGTAGATGAACTTTGTAGCCTGATTTCTGTTACTAATTTTACTGGTTCTCCAGACTCTTGAGATGAACAGTTGATGAACTTTGTACCCTAATTTCTGTTACTAATTTTCTGGTTCTCCAGATCCTTGAGATGAACAGTAGATGAACATTTTAGCCTGATTTCTGTTACTAATTTACTGGTTCTCCAGACCCTTGAGATGAACAGTAGATGAACTTTGTAGCCTGATTTCTGTTACTAATTTTCTGGTTCTCCAGACTCTTGAGATGAACAGTTGATGAACTTTGTACCCTAAATTCTGTTACTTATTTTCTGGTTCTCCAGATCCTTGAGATGAACAGTAGATGAATTTTGTTGAGATGAACAGTAAATGAACTTTGTAGCCAGATTTCTGTTACTAATTTTCTGGTTCTCCAGACCCTTGAGATGAACAGTTGATGAACTTTGTACCCTTATTTCTGTTACTAATTTACTGGTTCCCCAGATCCTTGAGATGAACAGTAGATGAACATTTTAGCCTGATTTCTGTTACTAATTTTCTGGTTCTCCAGACTCTTGAGATGAACAGTTGATGAACTTTGTACCCTAATTTCTGTTACTAATTTTCTGGTTCTCCAGATCCTTGAGATGAACAGTAGATGAATTTTGTTGAGATGAACAGTAAATGAACTTTGTAGCCAGATTTCTGTTACTAATTTTCTGGTTCTCCAGACCCTTGAGATGAACAGTTGATGAACTTTGTACCCTTATTTCTGTTACTAATTTACTGGTTCCCCAGATCCTTGAGATGAACAGTAGATGAACATTTTAGCCTGATTTCTGTTACTTATTTTCTGGTTCTCCAGACTCTTGAGATGAACAGTAGATGAACTTTGTAGCCTGATTTCTGTTACTAATTTACTGGTTCTCCAGACTCTTGAGATGAACAGTTGATGAATGTTTTACCCTGATTTCTGTTACTAATTTACTGGTTCTCCAGATCCTTGAGATGAACAGTAGATGAACATTTTAGCCTGATTTCTGTTACTAATTTACTGGTTCTCCAGACCCTTGAGATGAACAGTTGATGAATGTTTTAGCCTGATTTCTGTTACTAATTTACTGGTTCTCCAGATCCTTGAGATGAACAGTAGATGAACTTTGTAGCCTGATTTCTGTTACTAATTTACTGGTTCTCCAGACCCTTGAGATGAACAGTTGATGAATGTTTTAGCCTGATTTCTGTTACTAATTTACTGGTTCTCCAGACCCTTGAGATGAACAGTTGATGAACATTTTAGCCTGATTTCTGTTACTAATTTTCTGGTTCTCCAGACTCTTGAGATGAACAGTTGATGAACATTTTAGCCTGGTTTCTGTTACTAATTTTCTGGTTCTCCAGACTCTTGAGATGAACAGTTGATGAACATTTTAGCCTGGTTTCTGTTACTAATTTTCTGGTTCTCCAGACTCTTGAGATGAACAGTTGATGAACATTTTAGCCTGATTTCTGTTACTAATTTACTGGTTCTCCAGACCCTTGAGATGAACTGTTGATGAACATTTTAGCCTGATTTCTGTTACTAATTTTCTGGTTCTCCAGACTCTTGAGATGAACAGTTGATGAACATTTTAGCCTGATTTCTGTTACTAATTTACTGGTTCTCCAGACCCTTGAGATGAACAGTTGATGAACATTTTAGCCTGATTTCTGTTACTTATTTACTGGTTCTCCAGACCCTTGAGATGAACAGTTGATGAACTTTGTACCCTGATTTCTGTTACTAATTTACTGGTTCTCCAGACTCTGGAGATGAACAGTAGATGAACTTTGTAGCCTGATTTCTGTTACTAATTTTCTGGTTCTCCAGACCCTTGAGATGAACAGTTGATGAATGTTTTAGCCTGATTTCTGTTACTAATTTACTGGTTCTCCAGATCCTTGAGATGAACAGTAGATGAACTTTGTGCCCTGATTTCTGTTACTAATTTACTGGTTCTCCAGACTCTTGAGATGAACAGTTGATGAACTTTGTACCCTGATTTCTGTTACTAATTTATTGGTTCTCCAGACCCTTGAGATGAACAGTTGATGAACGTTTTAGCCTGATTTCTGTTACTTATTTTCTGGTTCTCCAGACCCTTGAGATGAACAGTTAATGAATTTGTAGCCTGGTTTCTGTTACTATATTTCTGGTTCTCCAGACTCTTGAGATGAACAGTTAATGAATTTGTAGCCTGGTTTCTGTTACTAATTTTCTGGTTCTCCAGACCCTTGAGATGAACGGTTAATGAATTTGTAGCCTGGTTTCTGTTACTATATTTCTGGTTCTCCAGACTCTTGAGATGAACAGTTAATGAATTTGTAGCCTGGTTTCTGTTACTAATTTTCTGGTTCTCCAGACTCTTGAGATGAACAGTAGATGAACATTTTAGCCTGATTTCTGTTACTAATTTACTGGTTCTCCAGATCCTTGAGATGAACAGATGATGAACTTTGTACCCTGATTTCTGTTACAGCCTAAATGTGGCCTTCCTATAACTACCTACTTCAGCGCCGTCAAGCTGAGATGGCTGATTGATAACAGTGAAGAAGTTCAAAGTGCTATTAAAGATGGACGCTGCTTATTTGGGACTGTCGACTCCTGGCTGTTATGGGTAATTCATAATAAAACTAGAATTTATGGATCTTAAGACTTAGAACTGTTTCAGTAGGAAATAATTACGTTACAATTTCTTACTCTAAGGAATTTTCCAGATAGGTAAAGGATATTACAACCCCAGGAATTTATGACTGAAACTTTGAAAACAATTTAGCCAAACTATAATCTAATCGTATTCTCCCTTTATCAAAGGAGACTTTCCAATTGAAACTACTGTAAAATACACTGGTTATGACCCGAAAAAATATAAATACTAGTAGATTTTGTAATTTGAAAGTGAAATTTTAAAATGAAATCAAATTTTATTTTCAAAAATTAACACAAATACAAATTAAATCTAATTTGAAAGTTTTTTTTGCTCAATGCCCTGTGATTCATAATAATTGCTCTGACATAAATAGATATTTGGTTTTCAATCAGCATGGTAATATTGTGGAATGTTCTTAACTTCAGAACCTAACTGGAGGGAAGGATGGAGGGAAACATTTGACAGACGTCACTAATGCCAGTCGAACCATGCTGATGAACCTCCGATCACTGGACTGGGACACCAGTCTATTGAAGTGAGTTCAGAAGTATGCTGAAACAGAACCACAATATGTTCATATTACTCTGAAAAAATTTATACATAATCTTCATTTGATCTCTTCATTTTGCTGGAATGAAAGGGAGGGATGTTGCCAGAACAGGGGTATTTGTAGATAGGTTTCACGGTCAGGCAGGTGACCTAGTATAATTATGTGCTAGTTCCCATTTCGCTTGTAAATTAAACCCATGTCTTTATGATGAAAAGCATTGTGTTACCTTCTGTGCCAGCCGACCATCGTGTAAATATGCAAAATGCAAATTCAGGGAATTACAGGGAAATAATCTTGTTTGATTTCCAGCAAATTTACTAATGAAACATGTTTTGTAGGGAATAATTCTTTTATTAGATTTGAACAACATTTTACAAGTATTTGGAAAACTGTTTGAGGAAATTTTAAATGATTTCAAATATTGGCGTCAGATGATTATAAAAGAATTCGTAAGTTCTCAGAAAGTAAGATATTTCAACATCTCTTGAAAAATATCCTAGATACTACCTGCATCATGTTCCATTATTGTTCCTTATTGCAGGTTCTTCGACATTCCTGCAGAAGTCCTACCAGAGATCAGAAGTTCTTCTGAGGTGTATGGTCAGCTGGTTTCTGGTCCTCTTAAGGGTCTCAACATCTCTGGGGTAATTATCTTGACAACATCAGGACATTTTTAGTCTTGTTTTTGATGCAGTATTTTAAAATGAACTTATAACATGACATGTTCAGTGTATGTCACTGGTATAATTATAAGTAATTTCTGACTTTTTCTAGATACTTGGAGACCAGCAGGCGGCTTTGGTGGGTCAAATGTGTTTCAAACCTGGACAGGCCAAAAACACGTAAGTTAACAAACGTGTTTTTTTGCAGATGTTTCGTGTACTTCAAATGTAAAAGTTTGATTTTGTTTCAATGTGGAATCATGTGATTTAAAGCATATATATCAATCAATGTATCTAGATTATGTTCAAACTAATAAATAAATAAAACTAATATCCAGAATAGAGTTACTTCCCTTCTGACCATAAATAGTACCATTGTATGTCTTACTAATATAAAACTAATATCCAGAATAGAGTTACTTCCCTTCTGACCATAAATAGTACAATTGTATGTCTTACAGATCTTATTGATCAAGGGCCGCTAGTTTATGCAGACAAACTGGTTAGTTGGCACTTTCAATGTAAAATGTCAGGAATAAATCAGGGCGAATTTGCAAATAATGATACAGGCCTCGAAAAAGTCACATTTGAAGTTTGTCAGAAAGCATAATAAGATCAGTCGGTTATCTCATATTAAATAACAAACAAACCTGTTCCAACTGCTCAAACCAATAAACAAAACATCTCTGTGTATCATTAACAACTGTAACAGAGGTCAGTGTTTATTGCAATGCTCGGATTCCAACCCTGGACCTCTGGCGTTCCAGTCTGATGTTCAGCCAATCAAGCTAAAGAGAAATTCTCTGTACCCCAGCGGTATATTGCTGCTAGTATTTACCTGGGTTACACAACCTATGTGTAAAAGTATGTTACTGGATACATCAATATGGTTTTTCCAACGTTTGCTAATTCATGTTAGCTATATGTGAATTATATTTTGTACATGTGTTTATTAAGTTTCTAATACTGTATGGCTTAGATATGGCTTGAACTGTGTCATGTTGAAGATGTGTCAAAAATAAGGTTATCACTAAAGCTATTACAGAGTTGTCAATACAGGAAATTAACTAGTTAAAGATGTGTTAAAAATTAGGTTCACTAGATATGTAAAGACTTCTCACTAAATTATTCTATTTCAGGTATGGTACTGGCTGTTTCCTTCTAATGAATACTGGGACAGAGGTAGGACACATTTACAGATTGTAGACTTTTTAATCTGATGTCATTTTTCATTTATTGTCTTAAAAACAACTTGTTGCTATTTATACTCAAACAGATTTTCACAAAACTCAGGTAGGTGTACGCAATGGTACAGAATCGACCAACTTTTTTGGCTGCACTATAGTCCTATATACACTCAGATAGTTAAAAGGAATGAGTGGGGCCACAGACTTTTGCACATCTATGTCAAGGTCTTAAACAAAGTGTAACCAAATTGACTACAGAACATTGTTACCATCTGGTGTATTTTCTGGTCTATAATCTGTTTACCATCTTGTCATACTATTTTCAACCTTAGTGTACATAGGATTATAGTGCAACTGAAAAAGTTGGTTGTTTCCGTAACATCTCATACACTACATATGTCAGTGCTAGTACAATCCACACTGGTCATTTGTCTGATGAAGGTGGCAGTGTAGTCATTGAAATGTCACTCTCTAATCTTCTACTGGAAATTTTGTAACAACTTCTATTCTAGTGACATTACCAACCGGAAGAAAATGTTCCAAAATATCAAATATGATGTGATAAATTTGAATGGTTCCTGCCATGGTCTGTTATATTTTATATTTGCAGGTGTGTGAGTCCAACCATGGTCTATTAACAACGGTTGGATATCAGCTTGGAAAAGACAAACCTGTTGTGTATGCTCTTGAGGTATTATACTACAGTACTGTTATGGCTTCATTTTCTGTATCTCATCTTGCACCATTTAGGATTTACTCCCCTGATGTATAATTTCAAATGTGTAAAATTCACATTTGAATTACTTGCCCTTAGTACAGTTCCTAACCTCTAGTCTTAGTTCAAGACCTTTAAGGGCCACTTTTATGGTCAGGATCTTGGCTAGCTTTAGTAAAGAAAAATCTGTTGTTTGTAATAAAGTTTCAGAAATACTGTAATATTATCAGGAAGTAATTCTGTTACACTTTCCTTAAAGTTTTGGGGAATAGATAGTTGCTGCTTTGTCCGTTTGTCTGTCTGTCTTTCTTTCTGTCTTTCTGTGTTTCCATTTGTACTCTTAATGTCATGAGCAGAAATTTTGCCCACAGTGAGACAAGTGTCATGAAACTTGGTGTGTACATCAGTTACACTAATGTGATGTGCAGTTTACATGTTTTAAGGTCCATAATGTCTTATTTACAGCATTGTTGCCTTTGGTTAATATTTTGTGCGCAGAGTATAACTTTACTTCCATCTAAACAAGGATGATGAAACTTGGTGTAAATATTGGTCATATTAGCAGTAAGACAATTTTTAGTGTACCAAAGTAAAGGTTCAAAACTCCGCAGTTACAGAAAACACCAAGAAAATACCAGCATGGCCACATTATCATAATTCAAACTCAAATTTATAAACATCAAGAAAATACCAAGATGGCAACATTATCATAACTCAAGAGTGTTTCAGTGTTCAATCCCATAAAAGACCAGTGACTCTAGTTTCCTCCTACAGTTCGACCTTCATGCACTTCCATCCAGGCCAGTGATAAATATAAACTGGGAAAACTCCATGCAATTGTTGTAAGATAAATGAACTTAAAAAAATGAGAAAAAAGAATGTGTACAAATTATACAGCTATTGTTAAGGTTGCTGGACAAAAAAATAATGTATATGTATGAGGTAACCATTAATTTTGTTTCAGCATCTGTACCAATATTTCTACTCCCGTTTTATTTTAATCAGAATATTTACATATTTCTGACAGGGAGCTGTTGCTATAGGTGGTGCTTGTGTTCGCTGGCTCCGTGACAACCTGGGAATCATCAAGACTTCAGAGGAAATAGGTAAGGGCTCTGTGTTAATCAGGATGATGATAAGACTGGTAGGTAAGGGAGATAACTTAGCATTTAAATAATAAAGCTAGTAAAAGAGACTCTGGGACAACCTGGAAATCACCAAGACGTCAGAAGAGTTAGGTAAAGGATCTGTCAATCAGGATGATGATAGACTGGTAGGTAAGGGAGATAAATTAGCAATAAAAACAGTAAAACTAGGTAAGAGGTTCACAAGGGAGGCAGTTCATGGCCCTTGAACAACCTTGGAATCATCAGACTTCAGAGGAGGTTGGTAACGGCAACAGATTCACAAGAAAGACCGTTTTTGTCCCTGAGACAACATGGATATCATAGATCAGAATGGAGATAGGCAAGGTCCATCCTTTTGTCAGCTGTGTTAGTCAGTAATGATAGGTAAAGGAAACAGCTCTTCTTAAAGAGTTGTAAAGGAGAGAACTGCAAGGTTAACAAGGGAGACAAACCCTCAGTGTAAAAATGAGCTGAGCTAGTAATGCTGTAAATAAACTTTAACAGCCCATTTGACTTGTGATGAAGCTAAAGTATAGGTGCATATTTTGATATCATTTACAGAGAAACTAGCCGCAGGAGTTGACAGTGTGGGAGGGTGTTATTTTGTACCAGCCTTTTCAGGTCTTTTCTGTCCCTACTGGCAGTCAGATGCAAGAGGGTAAGTAACAATAATCATTACCAAACTTAAGGAGGTATGGTACCTTCATACCATATAGTATTTCACTATATCCCATTAAAGAGTTCTCTGTATCTCATTAAAGAGTTCTCTATATCTCATTAAAGAGTTGATATCGTCTCAATTTATTGATATTTCAAATTATTTTTCTTCATTTTAATCCTGTATAATGTTTGATTTCATGTCTCTTGTATAACCTTTTCACATTGTTTTACACAAGAAGCATTTTTATGACCAACATGAATAATTATTCAAAAGAAAAACAAAAATTGATTTAATATAAGTGTTTTCATATGATTAGAATTAATACTATATAGACAGTATTGAATAGGTAATCTTCAAGCTAAACACACTAACATCATAATAGAAAACTTTATGTGATATTCCATTGATTACACTGTCACCTCTCAATCAGAAGAATATCTGTACTACAATATGTGTTCTGCTTGTTCTCTTCAGGATCATATGTGGTCTGACACAGTTCACCACAAAATGCCACATTGCTAGGGCAGCCCTGGAGGCTGTCTGTTTTCAGACAAGGGAGGTAAGTGAGTTTTTCTTAAATGTATAAATGAAATTTCTTTCAAATCAATCAATTTAAGCTTTTAAAACTAAAACAGTAAGAAGTATTAGGCAGGATACAATCCATGGATAGGAGAGACGCCAGAGTCGTTTAGTCAAGTAATGTAGTTGATTATATTTGCAGGGAATTGAGTTTTGCTTTATTCGTGGTCAATAGATAGCAAGAAAATAACAGGGAACATCCTACAATTAATGAAAATCAAAAAATATGTTACGTGTAAATACTGCGACAACTACAAAATACTAACCCCGTGAAATTAATTTGGTATACAGTAGATGTTTTACTGGAAAAGTCGTCAATTTCTATGTAGTGTTTGTTTACAGATTCTAGAGATCGTGAATAAGGCGAATGGTATCACCAGACAAAGTGATGTGAAGTTTATTTGTTTAAATATAAATCAAATTATTGTTTATTTCCAGATTCTAGAAATCATGAACAAGGATAGTGGTATCCCCTTAATGTCTCTGCAAGTCGATGGAGGAATGACGGCTAATACTCTACTCATGCAGATGCAGTCTGATCTCCTGGGCATTAATGTTGGTGAGTCAGCACACTTTTTATATTGTCAGCATGCTTACTCTTTCTACCAGAATTTGTGTTTAATGGTAGAGGTTTAGTTAAGGACCAGAGATATCTAGTGAGACACAGAAAAACCTAGATTCACTGTATTAACACATGTATGAGGAGATACAGGTTAGAATTTATACACTAGTCTCCTGTTATTCTGTCACTTTTGATTTTGGTGGTATAACAGGGATGGTGATACAGAAAGGTTTAAGGGTGATACCTAATTCCACAACTATGTACAATGTAAACAAAGCCTGAATACACAACTATGTACAATGTAAACAAAGCCTGAATACACAACTATGTACAATGTAAACAAAGCCTGAATACACAACTATGTACAATGTAAACAAAGCCTGAATACACAACTATGTACAATGTAAACAAAGCCTGAATACACAACTATGTACAATGTAAACAAAGCCTGAATACACAACTATGTACAATGTAAACAAAGCCTGAATACACAACTATGTACAATGTAAACAAAGCCTGAATACACAACTATGTACAATGTAAACAAAGCCTGAATACACAACTATGTACAATGTAAACAAAGCCTGAATACACAACTATGTACAATGTAAACAAAGCCTGAATACACAACTATGTACAATGTAAACAAAGCCTGAATACACAACTATGTACAATGTAAACAAAGCCTGAATACACAACTATGTACAATGTAAACAAAGCCTGAATACACAACTATGTACAATGTAAACAAAGCCTGAATACACAACTATGTACAATGTAAACAAAGCCTGAATACACAACTATGTACAATGTAAACAAAGCCTGAATACACAACTATGTACAATGTAAACAAAGCCTGAATACACAACTATGTACAATGTAAACAAAGCCTGAATACACAACTATGTACAATGTAAACAAAGCCTGAATACACAACTATGTACAATGTAAACAAAGCCTGAATACACAACTATGTACAATGTAAACAAAGCCTGAATACACAACTATGTACAATGTAAACAAAGCCTGAATACACAACTATGTACAATGTAAACAAAGCCTGAATATACAACTATGTACAATGTAAACAAAGCCTGAATGCACAACTATGTACAATGTAAACAAAGCCTGAATACACAACTATGTACAATGTAAACAAAGCCTGAATACACAACTAAGTCATACATAATTTTGATTTCATCTTTAAATCATTGTTATCTAATGTCTTAACATTATGAATTACATATTAAATAGTATTAAAGGATATGTGAGTACAGTTTTATAATATGATTTACAAATGAACTTTACATTGTGCAGACCATTGTCAAGTGTGTGTCCGTCAAACATTGTCTTCAGGTTTTAATCAGGACCATGTCTAGTAAATTTAGCTTCCAGAAAAACCATATATACTTTCCACTATACTTTTGGGGCCATTTTATTGGTCAGTGTAGTAAAATATTTGATGTTGTCTTCTACAGAAACAGGAAGCAAACAGTAGACCCACCTGGTCTAAGGAGTCAAAACATTTTCACTTTATATGCAATCCTACCAGTTATCCCCCTTAGTCCGTGATCTTTAATCACCATTCAGATGAGTTACAGCTTTAAGTAGATTTTCCATATATTTGGTCTGACAAATCACCAGAATGAAACAGAACACAAATACCTTGTATTTTTAGTTTCTGATGAACACCTGTATTTACAGGGGAGAACTACAGGATGGCTTTCATTGAGTCCAGAATTACACAAGAAATTATTTCTTTCAGTGGGATTCTTTTCAAAAGTTCAGAAATATATATCATAGTCAGCCCCATGACAGTGTGCTGCTCACTTTGTTACATTGACACATAGTTAATTAATCAATTCATTTGATTTATTTAAGGTTATTACAGTTATACATAGGTATCATCCGCTCAATTTGGTAATTTTTAAGCTCACCATCATCAGATGGTGGGCTATTCAAATCACTTTTCGTCAGTGGTCTGTGATCCATGATCTGTCGGATCCTGTCTGTGATCCTTTGTCTTTCTATAAACAAAAACAATATGGCTGACTGGTGGCCATCTTTGATAATGACATTGAATGTTTATTATCTGTATTTTGGGAGAAATTCTAAATGGAACTTTCTCAAATTTTATACGTAGGTTCTCCTTTGTCCTTAAAGTGTTCTTTTGATTTTGGACAAATACAAATACAAAATGGCTGACAGGCAACCATCTTGAATTTGACAATTTAAGACTATGTTCACTGCTCTTAGGAGAAAAATTAAATTTCATATAATCAAGAACAAGAACAGGGGAAAGACTAGATAGGAAGGGATGTTATCTTATACATCTCAACTGGGGCCAGATTTTCCTCAGCTAATATTTCCTTGAAAATATCTTGTATGAAAATTCCTCAAGGAATTTCTTTGTTCCTTGTTTTAACAAGCCGTTTTTGAGGATATCAGAGAATTAAAAAATCTCAGGTCATATTCATTTTTTAAATAATATTAGAAAAAGGTCATATTCATTTTTTAAGTTAATTTACGTTAATGTCAATTCATAATACAGATAAATGAAATAGAATAATTTATCTATATTTCTTAGATAGTACCTGATAATGAAGTAGCTAGTATGACTCATTTGAATGCTTTTACACTAAATATTTCTCATTCTCAGTTCGACCTTCCATGCCGGAGACTACAGCTTTAGGCGCAGCAATGGCAGCAGGTTATGCTGAGGGTATATGGGACATTGAGGACAGTGCTGAAGCTACTATCACCACTGATGTCTTCAACCCTGCCATCAGAGCTAAAAGTTTGTAGTCCTTGTATTTTTCATTTTTTTAACTGATTCTTTTATGAGCTTATAGCTGAGACTGCTTAAATGTAGTAATTTTCAATGAGTTTTATTTTATCCTATTTTAAAGACTGATTAAATCACGAAAAATGAAAAAGAAAACAAAAAAACCAAAGTAGATTCTGTGCATCGAAATGGACTGTCTGTTTCATGATCTCTGAAAACTTTTAGTTTTGAATTTGGTAAAAAATTTAATCATTGAAAAAAAAAGAACCTGTAAGTATTATGTATCATGCCTCACTGGTCTGTTTCACCCTTTCCCATCATTCAACTCTTCTCAGTATTAAGGAGGCTTAGAGTCATGATATTAGGACATAGTCCTCTGGTAAATGGGGTTTACAGATTTGTTTAAATGTAATACTTTTATTTACCCTCAAAGTCCCAGGGTTCAAACATTAAGTAACCAATGAGACACGGGGACCTCTAGCATGCTTTGTTAAATGACTGTTAAGTTTGTTAATCAAATGAATACTCTCATTTACTTAAAGGTCAGATGTTTTGAAAATTCACGATCACCAAGAGGCCTTAGATCGTGAGATTTGGCCCATAACATGCTTTGATATAACTTCGTCTGAGGGAGATTCTTTTTCCTTAATTGTACTCACCTTAAGGTTCAGAAATAAGATGCAGGCGGCCCATTGGGTGTGTATTGATATTATTATGGTGACCTCCTGAAAAAAGCTTGCAGTACTATTGGACAAAGAAATCACATTCTCGGTAACAACACAGGATCTTACACCACAGGGTTAGATGGGTAGGCTTCAGTAGAGGAAATCACTTGGTAATAGAATTTTAACCAAATTTTGTCAGAAGCATCCTTGGATGAAGGGGGCTTAAAGTAAACTTAACCTTAGCCTTAAGGTGGATGGTTAGGGTCCAATAAGGGTGATCAATGCAGTTGGTTACAGTCCTTCTTTTAGATTGCATGAATATTAAACAGCTCATGGAAGAAGTGGACAAGCATTTGTATGAATGCTGGATCTGTATCAACATTTTTTAGGTCATCTTGACCCTTTGCAGATGACCTATAGCCATCGTGCTTCGTCTGTCGTCGTCCGCCGTGTGTAAACTTTTCATTCAAACAACTTCTTCTCAAATACTAGAAGGTCTAGGGGGCTAATACTTGGCACAGAGCATACTGGCATGGAGCTCTACCTACCAAGTTTGTTCAAATGAATGACCTTGACCCACTTTAAAGGTCACAGGGGTCAAATATCTTGTATCTAATGTCAGATGACCGTTAAGGCCCATGGGCCTCTTGTTTTCAGTCTAGTTTGCTATGAAGCACAGTTGAAACCAGAAAAATCAATTTTTGTATAACTATAAAATACACATATTTTGTTATCAGTTATGTACCAAGAATTGAAATGAACAATGGTACCATTTAATTCAGATCGTGATGAGCGTTTTGCAAGATGGAAGCTTGCTGTGGAGAGATCTATGCATTGGGAAGTTCCCACACCCATACAGGGTAAGTTTTCTCGTAGAGTAAAAGTCATTGTACAAAACTCCCATCTTAAATTCGTCCTCTCTGTTCATGGACGAAATTGTTTTTTTTTTTTTTTTTTTCATGGTTCAATAATTTCATTCTTCAGTCAAAATAAGAATTACTGTTAGGGATAGGGCCCTGGGTATATATATATATATATATGATTACCTCACAAAGGAGGCTACTTATTTTATGGCTGAGATTAAACAGGAGCAAATCTTTCTTGGTAGACAATATGTTTTGTGAACATATTTGTATTATATGGTATCTCTGCATGTCAAGTTTTGTGTATTTGAAGTCACTTTCTAAAAAGCTGGTCGAAAAGGTCAAGGCAACTCAGAAATGTTCTACAACAAATTGATAAAAGTCATAATGTACATTTTCGAAATTTTCTAGGATAGAAAAAAATATTAATAATTTATGACCATTATGCAATGTGTTCCATTTAAGCTTGTATCGAATATAATGAAGATTCTGTACATTGATTCTATTTTCGTATGCTGATTCTGAAACTATCACCAGGCAGTACCAGTCCAGCCCCATCATAATCTGTACCTGGTGTTTTCAATTCAGCGAGTCAACTGTTTTGACTACTTATAAGAAAGTGACCTGAATTGAAATCGGATGCAGTATTATATACATGTATGTAATATTTCTGTTTTTTTTCCCTATGGAAGAATAGGAACTATGCCGAACCTGTACAGCAGTCTCGCCGCCGGACTGTACCTATGGACCAGCTGTGCCTTATTATTAGCAGCAGAACTTATACACAAGAGATAACATATAGCCAGGTTGTAGGTACCCTATACTCCATTTCTATAGAAAATTGTTTATGTTTTTATTGTCAAAATATTTTTATTTAGATGTATTTTTATGATCTTCGGATCGTTTATGTCATAGAATTACAACGAATCACACATATCAATCCTAACGTTGCTCATTCTAGTCTTCAGGTGTGATTTCTAACTGATGAAATATTTGAGACATGAAATCATTTACCAATGACATTGTTTCATGTACAACTTTGTATGTTTTTTTTATCAGGATTGCATGTAACATTATAAATCCACAGGTTCATCATGAGATTTGATTCATATTTTTTTTTCTTGATATCTGTTGTGTCTAAATCTACGTTTTGCTTGCTTGAATTATGCAATAATTATTATATAGCTCTCCTTCTATCTTACAAAATTTTCTTTCTACATAATAATTACAAGCTTTGCTTTTGAGAACATACAAGACATGAAAAATACAGTAATTATCCAACGATAAGTCACTGTCTGGTAATAAGCCCACCAACGTCTATCCCAGTTTAATAAGAAATGCCAACAAAATATTGTAATAACTGTTATGAATTTTATTTATTTATAACAAAATAAGTTATCCAACTTTAACTAATTAACTTGTTGGCCCGGATTAAAGCATGCAAAGGGTCCAACTGTTTGAAGAAACCAGAGTATCTAGAGAGAACTTACATAGTTCTGTAGGTGACCTTATGCTGTTTCATGTCTCTATGGGGAATCAGACCCCAGACATCTTGGTGAAAGGTGAGTGCATTACAACAACTCCACTGGACAATCCTGTAAAATGTCCTCTTGTTGTTGTCCTCTGTGACTTATTGTGGGATAAATACTGTACACCAAGGTGTGGAGGATAAATATGGTGGGTTTTATCAAAAGATAGATTTAAACTTTATCAAATGGATGTTTTATCAAAAGATAAATTTAGACTTTATCAGTTGGACATTTTATCAAAAGATAAAATTCAGCTTTATCAAAACTCAGTAGATATAGAATATATTGTGGTCTTTTTACATTGTACCTGAATCTGTTATAATAGTTGATCTCTTATCTGAATCTCACGTTGAGTACTCAAGTGCTAGTATAGATTTACTTGTTTAATATTTGATTCTGTAACAAAATAAAAACAGAACTCGGTTCTGTCCTCAGAGACTTTATACTTAGTTTTCTTACCGTGAAATATATACATATCTACCAATAATATCTAAATATATATGGATAAAACAAAAAATCTGATATTTTAGAATCATGGTTTTTTCTATTAGAATGAGATTAAAATATTGTTCCTTTATGTTATAGATTCCATTGTATCTAAAGTCTTCGTAGTTTTAGAACTTTTCTGAGATTGGTTCCCATGGTTTCCATGCTAAGGTGACATTCCAATATCATGATAACATGTATGTTTTTTCTTGTGTAGTATTTACCTCAGATTTTTCCATTTCAATAATTCCATACAGAGGCTATAACAGAATACAGGTATATTAGCTGATGTGAGCTTCTGTAAAATACCTGTGTAATTAATTTTAGTGGGTTTCAAATTATGTGGTTTTTCCAAAAATATATAATTTTTGCTGGCACTTTAGTTTGTGGATTAATCAAGCATGAAAAATCAACTAAAACTACAATCTATGTCAATATTTAAATGGATATCATTTCATTCAGTGTTCACACTTTCATCTCAACATTGTACTTGAATAAAATTTCATTTTCGAAAGAGACGAGAATAAAATTTCATTTTTGAAAGAGACGAGAATAAAATTTCATTTTCGAAAGAGACGAGAATAAAATTTCATTTTTGAAAGAGACGAGAATAAAATTTCATTTTCGAAAGAGACAAATAATGCAGATAAATGTCTAAAAGAATGAATCTCGAAATCCATTTTGAAAGCATCTAGTAAAAATTCTGGTGTTATCACATGTACAGACATGACGTTTGATATTTGGAATCACACTTCTGTAACATTTCTGTTTGTTTTACCGTGTTTTTTACTTTTATCTCAGCAACATTATTTTTCTATTGAAAGGGATTATCTAGTACAATGAATTTTCTAATGTCATCATCTAGTTGTTAACTATCAATTTTTTTGCTGGAAATATAATCTCCTCAACAGGAATGTATGCTTAATTTTGCACTTTATTAAGTCTATTTCCCTTGAGCTGTAACCTTTTGTAAAATCTACCAGACAGATGATTTTTTAATAGATTATCTAGATATAAAGTATGCAAACCAAAGAGATACTGTTTTTATGTTAGAACCTCTTATTTGTTTTGTTACATATCAGAAATTATCTGGCATATTTGAAATTCTATGTGAAATGATTGAATAACGGAATTTGCCAGGTTAGCTATGCAGGCCCCTTGGACCTCTTGTTTTTATGTTACATATCTGTTGTGATCTGGGATAAACACCCGTCATTGTTTTCTTTCTACTGTGAAATATATTTTTGTTGATTTTCTGAGTACTCTTAATCCAAAAATGCACATGTTCACAAAGATTTATTGGGTGATATCTATCAATGAAATCAGTTGCTCACGGTAAGGTAAATGAAAATTGAACTTCACAACAAATTAAACCCCACGAAAATATATGATTTTACAGTATTTTTTTAAAGCATGGATTTCCATGTTATACATTACTATTTAATACTTTATTGTCTGAGATTATTAGTTACAGTAATGCACTCCTTCAGTGAAATCTATTTGCTAAATCGTTACATTATATCTTTACTGTACTTCCAAGCTTTTACATAATATTTGAGAATGCCATTTGTTAGTGAATCTTGTGATACCTGTACTCAAAATTTCATACATTTGACTAATTACACGATATCACTTCGAGAGTGCCCGTCCACCTTTCAGTGAATATTATGCTACTAAAACATTCATACATTTTAATGCCCCACCCCCCTTTCAATGAACAATGTGCTACTAAAACTTTCATGCATTTTAAACTAACTTCTGAATGTAAGTTCAAGAATGCCCCTCCCCCTTTCAATGAACAATATGCTTCTAAAACTTTTATGCATTTAATCTAATTACATAATGTAGCTTTGAGAATGTCCGTCCCGCCTTCAGCGAAGATTATGCAGCACTTTAAATTACATATTGTAGCTTCAAGAATGCCGCTGTTCTTCACCAAACACTAACACTAAAAGAAAATCTTCAATTTGAAACTACATGTATAAATTACAAATTATCTTCGAGAATGCTCTCCTTCATTGAATAATGTGATACTTGCGTTAATTGATGTTTTATACTTGTGGCTTTGACTAATGCCTTACTTCAGTGCACATTGTGATAACTTAATTTTATGATCAATTTAGACTTAGATTAAATTAATTAGATATTATTATTTTACATTTATTGTGTTAAAATTTTAAATGTTCATATTTGATGTACTTGATAAAGAAGTCGTTAAGGAAGATGTTTATTTACTTATTAACCTCGAAAACAATGAAAAGATTTATCACTAAAATGTTGCAAGATCAAATTTCCCAGTAAAAATATTGACATTAACATGCCAAGAACATTTTTTTTTCTGATGCATATACGTAATTATGCTTATTGAAAATTTAATTTCTTTTCCTTAATTATGCTGAAGACAAATTTTGTTTTTGTTATGTGTAATTATGCTAAAAAAATAGTAACAAATTTTCAGTTAGATATTTAAACGTAATTACCTATATATATAGAGAATATGTTTTAGTTTTAGTTGGATATACCTAATTATGCTAATTACAAATTCTCTTTTGGATATACATAATTATATATATATATATATATATATATATATATATAATTATGTTTGTTATCCGTATTTGTTCTTAAGAACAAATTGTTTGTTGGATATTTTCGCATAATTTGTATTCTCTTAGATAAATGTAATTATGTTATGAAGAACATATTTTGTTAGATATACGTAATTATGATTGATGAGATTTAAATTAGAATTTACGTAATTATGCAAAGAGAAGATTTACAGGTGGATATTCGTAATTATGTTGAGAACAATTTCCTGTAAAATATACGAAATTTTGTTTAAATTTTGTTTTTGACTTTCTGTTGAATATACATAATCATTGCCAAGAACACAATTGCTGTTGGATAATATGCATAGATTTGTTAAGAACATGTTTTTTAATATACATTTTATTATGCTTGGAATAATGTTGTTTGTTTTTGGGGGGGTTTTTTTGGGTAAGGGGGGGGGGGGCTCAGATTTCTGCTGGATATATGTAATTATGCTTTTAACAAATTTTCTCTTTGAGTTTCTGTTAGACATATTTCATTTTGTTCTTCTTTTCAGATATTCATTTTGGAATATAGAATATTGTTTGTTGAATTTCGTCTGAAGAACTCGTATCCTTATTTAGATGATAAGCTGTGGTTCTCGTTAAAAAGATAACTAACTCGTCTAAGCCGCTTAAATTTATGTTTGTAAGTTGTAAGAGAAATGACTTTTTGTCAGCATTTTCTACGATAGTGTAGTTCTGACTTAAATTGGAAAGGAAAATGAACAAATCACGTTGTGGATAAAACTGATTCATAAGCATAATAAAATTTCAAGCACTCCGACCATACATGAACATTAAAATGCTACTATTTGTGTTTACGATTACAATTCCCACTACAGGTGGCAGTGTGATTTTTGTCAATTCTTTGCTTAATTGCTTTCCTTGGGCAAGATATTTCGCATTATTTTCCATTTGGACGCCATCAGACGGGCTTCCCGTATTTTGTTTAGTTAGGTAGCCACCAGTTACTAAAGTTAGACCACGTCTCAAAATAGCGCTAGTCACATTTCATCTGATAGATACCCGCATGTTTCTTATAATAGGAAATGTATCAAATTTTTGCATGTATTTATATTATTTGTAAAGTTTGATGCTTAACGATTGAAACTTTATTGAGCAGGAAGTTTGGTACATTTTTGTTTCATTACACGCATTCCGTATACTCTTCCTTCATTAGCAACTATTTCCACGAGTGTTCATGCGCAAGAACTAAAACGATCCACATGTTTTTAAAATAATTGTGCTTATGTCGACATTCAGTAAGAAATAAAAGATAAAATTTACACTTTTATGTCGAGTAATTTTATTTCGAAATAACGAAAAAAAAGCAGACGTATGGAAATAGTTTACAGTTATTGCAATCTGAATGAAAACGGAAAGCTTCATACTAACAGCCGTAGCTTCTTTTGATGGACATTGATTGAGATTGAAGTTATGAAATTTTGATGTGTTAATTAATTTCACTTAGTTCTGAGACTCTT